AAGCGCTCAGTCCACAGTCAGGATGAGCTGCTGCCGCCACCGCGTTCATCCCCACCATCGTCATCGTCGCCACAGACTAGGTGCTCTCCCGGCTCAAGGCCCCGTGAGTGAACAGCTCCTCTGCTCTCAGAGCCCAGCCCCCATGGGGAGTCTGTCACTGTCCCGAACCTCCCTCCCGCGCCCTCCTCCAGCTGTAAGTGCGCCATCTCCTCCAAGGAGGAGCACATCAGACTCAGACAGGCACAGCTCCCTCCCAGCCTGGTACCTGGGCCGCAGCTTTTGAAGCTCAAAAGCCACGACCACCTCTTCCACTTGCCCACGGGCAGCAGCAAGGCTTGTCTGGGGCAGTGAGTGAGCTGTGACCCAGGGACCTGGAGGAGGGCTGGGGGGACAGCAGCACTGGGGGCGGCCCAGTTCAGGGTCACGGTTCCCTCTGGCCCTCCAGCGCCGGCAGCTCCCAGGGCACGGCTCCGGGTGGACACACTCCATCGTGAGCATCCCAAACACGGGAGCAGAACGCAGCCTGGCCCTCCATGTGCACTGGTTTCCCCGCCCCCCACCCCCCCCACTGCCCTCCAGCCAGGGTGCCCCCAGCCCTGCCCCCCAAACCTGCGCCCACACTAGGCTGCTCCTCCTCAGGGTGCAGACCCAGCCCCGGGTTTTGAGCAAAAGGTGGCGCCACGTCCGGAGGCAGCTGCGTGGAGACCCGGTGAGTCCACCCAGCCTCCCTAAAGGGAACTTTTGGAGCAAATTACCTATTGATTTCTCCATTACAAATATGCTTTGCTTTACCCTCCTATGGACTTTTATTGGTCATAATAGTCTTTCCGGAAGGTGTCCTCACTCAGACCAGTGACACAATTTTTAACGTGTGACATGTGGCATTATTCCACGTCCACCAGGGACATGTGCCAATAAATATGGGTGAGAGCTCGCTTCCTTTGGTGACTTGTTCATGGACAAATCCACCATGATTTTATGAAACACTATATTTAAGCGGAGTGACCCCCCACCCCTGGCCAACCCTCAGAGGGCCCTGGTGGAGTGGCTGGGGGGCCCAGCTGCTTGGTTCTTGAGGGCAGGCAGGGGTCCTGGACACAGTGTGGGTGCAGGTGGGTGCTCTGTGCTTGGAGGCATCTGGGGACGGCGACCAAGCCCGCACCCAGGGGTGGGCTCACGGTCTTGGGCCTGAGGCCCCAGCAGGTCCTTCAGATGAGGGGATACCAGTTTATCCTGATCAGGTGCCTCCTTGGACAGGCAGCCAGCTTGGCCATTGAGGGTCCCGCCAGGGTGACACCTGCAGGCACAAGCCCCCCCCATTAATCATGCCCCCTTAAGCACCATGCTGGGCGATGGTGGGGGCCACGGGGGTGTTGGACTGCCCCCTCCAAGGCCCAGGCACCCATGGGGAATGGCTGACCCACACTGACACCGTGCTGAGAGCAAGGTCCTGGAAGGCAGAGATACACAGTGCAGCCCCCACCCCAAGGTGCTCGAAGAGATGGAGTGGGTGGGACCTCAGCCGTGAGAGGGCCGTGGCATCTCACTGGGGGCTCTGGGAGGCCAGCAGGGAGCAGCCCTTCCTTTGGCAGAGGAGGGTTCCCCCAAGGTCACCTGGGGCCGTCGGGAGAGGACGATGCGGGCGTCAGCCCCAGAACCCTGACCCCTGGCTCCAGGCCCTCCGGCCGGGCAGGCACCACCGTCTCAGGCCCCTCTCCACACCCACCCAGAACTATGACTTGCTTTTTAAGCTCCTTCTCACGCTCAACACCTTACTGAGCAGCAGGAGCTGAGAAGGCAGGGGGTCTTAAAGGCCCACAAACACCAGCGCAGAGCGGCGGGGGCACGCAGAGCCGCGGGGGGCA